GGGAGCAGGGAGGCAGGGTGATGGGAGAGCTTGTCTCCTGCCCACCCCACCATCCCTGACTTAGGGGCCCTCAGAGAGGGACCAGACTGAGATGGAAGGGACAGTTGGAGACACAAAGGAAAGTTTCATCCAACAAAATACCCAGTACCTATTATGTGTTGGGTGGAGACAGATAGAAAGAAACATACAAGCCACCCATCCATCCATCCACCATCCGCTCACCCAGCCAACCACCCATCCACCCAGCCATCCACCCATCCATTCACTCACCCACCCACCATCCACCCACCCGCCCATCCCCCCCCCCCCCCATCTACCCACCCATCCAGCCAGCCAACCACCCACCATCCAGCCAGCCACCCAGCCAGCCAGCCATCCAGCCAGCCACCCACCTAACTATCCACCTACCCATCCAGCCATCCACCCAGCCAGCCAGCCAGCCAGCCACCCACCCATCCACCACCAGCCAGCCACCCACCCCCCCACCCATCCACCACCCAGCCAGCCAGCCACCCATCTAGCTACCCATCTACCCATCCAGCCATCCACCCATCCAGCCAGTCAGCCAGCCACCCAGTCATCCAGCCAGCCAGCCACCCACCCACTCATTCATCTACCCACTCACCTACCCACCCATCCATCCATCTACCATCTATGTACCCATCCACCCACTCATTCATCCATCCACTCACCCATCCATGCATCCATCCATGCATCCATGCATCCATCCATCCATCCATCCACCTACCCACCCACCCAGTCGGCCAGCCAGCCAACCACCCATCCATTCATCCATCCACCCACCGACCCCTCTACCCATCCATCCACCCAGCTACTCACCCATACATCTATCCAGCCACCCAGCCACCCAACTACCCATCCATCCATCCATCCATCCCTCTAACCACCCTTCCATTTTTATCCAGTACTAATACTAAATCAGAGACTGAAAAAGATAAAGATACTGAGAAAATAAAGGAGGAACACCAGACTAAAAGATAAAGTAACTCATTCATTTATTCAATCATTCATTCATTGATTTATTCATTCAACAAACATTTGAGACAAATGAGGCCATGCACAGAGGTGCTTAGTTCAAGGACTACCACAGAGTAAACACACAATAAATGTTAGCTGATATTAATCTTATTATTTAGCCCCCATTGTGTCCAGAGCCTGTACGTGTGTGGGAGAAATGGTGAGCCAGAGGCAGGAGGAGAAAGAACATGACACAGAAGGAGAAGGAGAAAGGAAGAGATGGAAAGAGAACGTAAAGAAAAAACAGACATTCATTTGGTCATTCAACCAACATTAATTGGGCACCTGCTGTGTGCTAGGTTTTGAGAGACAGGGAGCTGGGTGCAGCGCTGGCCGGGGGCACCCGAGGGCAGGAGCCCTCTCTGTCACATCCTCACCCACCCAGGGCCTGGCACATCCAGGGTGCAGTGAGAATCTGTTACGTGAACCAGAAGATAGAGGGGAGAAAGACAGAGGCAGAGACTGGGAGGGAGAGAGGAGAGAGGGGGAGCAGAGGGTGAACCATGACAGAGAGGAGGTGGGGCTGGAGGGGGAGGGGAGACTGAGGCCACGGCAGGCTGTGGGCAGTGGGGGGGGCTCGAGGGGTCTACAGGGGCAGAGAAAGCGGCGGCTGGCCGGGGCAAGTGGACAGTTGCTCCCCCTCCTTCCTCCGCCCGGTCCTCAGACTTTCCACCGTGGGGCAGGGCCTCCAGGGAGGGGGAGAGAGGGGCCCTCCTGCTGATGGGGGCACAGAGAAGGGTGCAGCCCCCATTTTACCTGCTCCTGAGCTTAACTGTGGAGCCAACAAACAAAGTTAAAAGACCTCGCTGAGGCAGCCGTTGGGGCCTGAAGCTGTCACCCACGCAGCCGCACCCCAGCTCCTCCACGGCCCCTCCAAAGCCATCAGCCCTGACTGTCTGGGCACAGGGTGGGGATGAGGCCTCGAAGGAGGGGGTCTGAGGGAGGGGAAAGGGAGACACAGAGCGACCAGCCTCCAACAGGACCTCGAGGGATGGGGCACTTCGCTACCCTGGGCCTGTTTCCACCGTGAGCAGAGGCCACGCAGATCGTTCAGTAGCGTGCGGACTATGAGGCCCCATTCCTTGGACATGTCGAGCCTCTCCAGCCTCGGGCCCTTCTTCGTGCACCTCCCTCCACCTGGAACTCCCCACCCCTCCTTCCCCCATGTGGCTGCCCCTTCTCATTCCTTAGCTTTGGGCTTAAATGTCAGCTCCTCCGAGAAGCCCTCCTGGACCACCTTTCCTGTACCAGCTCCCCTCTCCCACCTTAACACCTCCCCCAGCTGGAACTGTAGAGTCCTGTGCTTATTTACTTGCTTAGTACCTGTCTCGGCCTCCAAACTGGAGGTGGCAATGAAGGCTACTCAATGTCTAAACTGACGGGGTGGAATCCCGTCTGGCTCACCCCCGGAGCCCCAGGACCCACCCACTGCCCGGCACGTGGTGGGTGCTCGAGAAACACTCACTGAACGAATCAGTGACTCAGCGAATAAATAAAGGGGACAGCTCCTGACCAGGCAAGGGCTGAGATGGTGAATGGGCTTCATTCAAGGGCATAAATGAGTCTGTGACCAGCAAAGGGACAGAGGAGGACCAGGTGAGCAGAGGACACCTCTAGACTTCAAGATTGCCCTCCAGAAACACACAGGGGCCTGAGAGGGGTTCTCTGGGGTTTCCGTGGGTGGATGGCAGGACAGATAGATGACAGATGGATAGATGGGTAGATAAATATTTGAGTGAGTGATGAGGGACCGAGGGACCAGACAAGCAGGTGGACAGGTGGAAAGATGGGTAGCTGGATGAATGGATGAGTAGCTGATGGAGCAAAGGGGCTGGTTTCCAAGTCTGGGTCAATTCAGGGCACGTTAGGAACAGCAGGGTCCAGACCTAGAGAGGATCATAAACTGCACTAGGCCACCAGGAGCAGAGGCTGGGAGCAGAGGGGACAATGAGACTGTAAGCCCCACTCCCTCCCCTAAATTGCCAAAAACTTGGGGAAGTCCCCAGACTCCCTAAGGGACCAGGAAGGAGAACTCAACCTTGCAAGGCAAGGAGTCCGCAGGTGACAGACACCAGGGTTATGCTGGAAACAGAACCCTGGGGGCCTGGGATTGCAGAGTGCCACACAAACGACATGAAGATGCCGTGCAAATGCCTATGAGTCTGGAGTCCCTGCTGCAGGACTCAGCTCGGCAGAGCCCACTGGCGGGAGGTGACCTCGGGGGTTGGAGGCTCCCTGTCCCCAGCTAGGCCTGGCATAGAAGGCATCATTCTATGGCCATGGCCATAGACCACTCCGTGGAGATGGCCACGTGCTGTTACCCCAGCCAGGGGCTTCTCTCCACTCTCCTGCTCCTCTTTCAGCCAGCCTCCTTCACGGGAAAGAAAGGGTTAACGCCTTGGCTGGAGGTTTGAACTCTCCCCAAGTCCCAGGAAGGCCACGAGATGCCCAGAAATGAAGGTGATGCTTAGAGAAGACCCAGGACGGGCAGCTGGGGGGTGTGCCAACAGGAGAACGTAGATGGATAGATGGATGGATGGATGGGCAAATGGATGAAAAGATGAGTGAATGAGTCAGTGACTGAGCAAATGAATGAGTGAACGAACAAATGGACGGGCAGATAGCTGGGTGAATGAACTGGTGATTAGAAGAAAGGAAAGAAAGAAGGAAGGAAGGAAGGGGGGGAGAGAGAAAGAAAGAGGAAGGAAGGAAAAAAGAAAGACATTAGAAATGAAATGAATGAATGAATTATAAATAGTTTGATAGATAGCTGACGACTGGATGAATAGAAACACTGGGTAGATGGGAGGATGGATGGATGTTTGAATGAGTAAATGGTGGATAAATAGAAGGTTGGTTGTATAGTGGATGGCTGGACAGATAGACAACAGATGGACAGACGGTAAATAGATATTTGAATGAGTGGACGGTGGATGGACGGATTGGACAAGTAGATGGACAGGTGGAAAGACAGGTAGCCAGATGAATGAATGAGTAGATGATGGATGGATGCATGCATGGATAAGTGGATGGATGGATGGATGGAGGCATGGATGGATGGATGGGTGGGTGGAGGGGTGGGTAGAAAGGATGGATGAATGAGTGGATGGATGAATGAATGAATACATGGATGGATGGAGGCATGGATGGGTAGACAGGTGGGTGGAAAGAAGGATGGATGAATGAGTGGATGGATGCATGCATGCATGAATGGATGAGGCATGGATGGATGGATGGGTGGGTGGGTGGATGAATTCAATACAGAGAAGACCATTGGCCAGGCAGCCAGCAATACTCACTCTATGACCTTCTTCCTCCACCGCTTGTTGTCACTGGGATGGTGACGATAGGTGCCATAGTCAAAGAGCGAGTCCATGGGTGCCTTCTTGGGCCCGGGCACCACCGAGGACTCATACAGGGTGGACTCCAGCAGGTCAATGGGGTTGGGCACCCCCTTGCGGAAGGCGCCCTGGAACTTCATGCGCAGGTTTGGCCGCCCATCGCTGGGGCCAGCAGGGCGACCCGTATCATTTGGTGAATGCGAGGGGGAGCCGTCTTCCCCTTCAAACAGATTGGCCAGCGAAGAGAGGGGGAAGGCCTCCCCACCAGGGATGCCACTCTCATCCCCGGGGGCCTCGGCCATCTCCCCAGAGCCTGTGCGAGGGCCTTCGCTGGGGTCCGCCATGCTGACCCCGCACCCGTCTGCACTGCTCGGCCTGCAAGGGAACGGGAGGGGAGTCAGGCAGAGTCTGGCCACTGGTGGGGGCTCCAGGAAGCCCCCTCCCACGTAGGCAAACAGCACTGCTGCCAGCCGCTTCAAAGCCACGGTTGTAATGACAGGGGTGTGGGGTGGCCACTCCCAGATGTGGTTGGCTGCCGGCCCCAGGCGGGAGCTGCAACAGGAGCCTCTTTCAGAGGCCTGGAAAGGCCTGTCTGCCTCAGGTCCAGCTTCCCTGGGCATCGGCTGGAGGAGGATGGGCCTCAGAGCCACCCTGGACCCCAAACCCGGAGGCTGGGGCTTACACCTGACCAACCCAACCAGCCTCAGAGCCCCACAGAGCAGGGTTCAAAGCCAGGCTCCACCCCGAGCAACTGCGTGATGCTGGGCAAGTCAACGTCTCACAGCCTCGGTTTCCTCACCTGTGAAATGGGGCTGTCAGGCACCGTGCTGACCACTGGGAGGCACGCTCTCCATTTTACAGAACAGAAAATCAAGCTTCCAAGACTTCAGCTGACTTCCCCTCAGTGCCAAGGGCTGACCCCTCCCTCCTCTTTCCACCTGGTGAACTCCCACCGGCCTCTGTTCCCAGTTCAGTTGTCCCCTCCTCCGGGAAGCCCTCCCCATCTGCGCGTTCACGGGATTAGTTAATTCCCGGCTGCGAGCACCGGGTGGCAGGGAATGAGCCGTCTGGTGCCCTCCTGTGTCCCCAGCAACTGGAAGGGCACCGCAGGGACAAGCGACCTTATGACAAAGGAGTTCTTTGTCTCCATTTCTCAGGCGAGGAAACTGGAGCTTTAAGAGGGGCAGTCACAGAGCTGGTGGGGAGAAGAGCTGCACTGGAACCCACGGCTCCGGGCCCAGCATTTCGCCAGGAGAAGGGCAGGGAGGGGCAGGGCCCTGCTGGCAGGCTGGCAGCCCCTGGCCTCTGCGGCGCACGGCTGGGCGGGTGGTGCTGGCACTGAGGGCCCGTTTCCTGGAACTCCCACCATCCCGTCCGGGCTGCAAGGAGATGTCTGAAAAACCCTCTTTTCTGAGTCTCTCTCTCCCCGCCTGACACACCAGCAGAGGCACCAATAAAGACTGGCTCCCACCTTGTTTGTCCTGGGCTGCCAGGAGGGAAGGCTTGGGCCGCAGAAGTGAGGGCCTGGCAAGGGGCCTCTCTTGGCGGGCACGGCGGGGCACACAGATGTCAGAGTTCCCACTGGGGACTGGCCGCCCCTGGGCCCCAGTGGGGAGGGACAGCCTGGACTTGTGAGTCACCCAGGCCTGGCTTCTAACCCCAGCCCTGCTATTTACATGCAGTGCGACCTCGGGAAAGTCACTTTAGCCTCCCGAGCCTCAGTTTCCTCATCTGTAAAATGGGTACAATTGCAGCAGCTTTTTCACAGCTTTGCAGGAAGAATGAAATGAGATCGGACATGCCCAGTGCCGCCCCTGGCACTAAACGGGGGGCTGTCGCTGATATAATCAAAGGGAAAAGGACAGGCGGGGAGTGGTTTCTGGAATCAGATACACCTGGTTCTGTCTGGGCCCTGGTTAGTTAGCAGCTGTGTGGTCTCAGGCCAGTCACTTCCTCTCTCTGGGCCGCAGCTTCCCCACTCATAAAGCCGGGGTCACCACGCCCCCTCCTAGAGTTCTTGGGAGATGACAGGGACCTCGGGAATCTGAAGCGCCCACTCAGGGCCGGCACCCGGTAGGAGCTCAGGAGACATTAGCTCCCGTCCACCTGCCAGGTGGGGGAGGGAGACCGGGCCCCGCAGCCCCTCGAGGCCGCCATGTGAGTGTGGCCTTGGTTCTGCAGGGATGGGGGGCATGCTGAGGCAGGGAGGGGTGTCCGTTGGGGTGCAGGCATGGAGGGGGAAGAGCGGGCTTCCCGGGCACAGCCCTAGTGGCCTCATCGGGGACCCCGGGGTCAGAGGGAGAGGAGGCACCAGGCACGTGCCTCTGCTGTCCACACCCTAATACCGCACCCCTCCCCAGGGACCCCTCACCCCACGGGGGCAGGGCCTAATGGACACCCGCCTCAGGGAGCTCCCCAGGCCAGGGGAGGCAGCCGGGAGAGCCCCTCAACCCCTGCCATGACTGCAGCCGCCCCCCAAGGGACCCCAACCCGCATGGCATCCAGGCTTCCTGGGGGCTCCACAACAGGGCCTCTGAAGTCAGCCAGCCCCGGGTTCAAACCCCCTCTGAGCCACTCACTCGCTCAGGGAGCCTCGGGCGAGGCACATGGGGACCGCGTTTAGCGTTTTAATTATGGTGAACTGGTAATTACGAAATAACCCCGTCAGCACTGTGACCATGTCGCCTCGGTCCACCGGGACAAGCCTCAGTGCCTTGCACACGCACCCTTGCCAGGTCCGCACTGCACCCTGAGGCCAGGGGCTCTCAGCAGGGCCATTCTGCTCCCAGGGACACTTGGCAATGTCTGGGGACATGTTTGGTTGTCACACTGTGCAGAGGAGAGAGGCCTATTGGCCTCTAGTGGCTGCTAAACATCCTACAGTGCCCGGGACAGTCCCCACCACGAGCAACGATCCAGCCCAAACATCAGTAGTGCTGAGGTTGAGAAACCCTCCCTTGGAGGTAGGTATTGCTATAATTCCCATTCTATAGATGATGAAGAAGCTGAGGCTCAGAGAGGTTAAGTGAGTTGCCTGAGGCCACACAGCAGCTTAGCAACAGAGCCTGGATTCAAATCCGGGCAGTTGGCTGCAGAGCCTGGACCACCCTAACCCCTCGGTTGACTGGGCCTGGCCTGGTGCCACGCCAAGCCCTTACTGTATCTTGTTCAAGCTGCACGACAGCCCTGAGAGGTGACGATTATGGCTACAGTCCATGCTCATCTCTCTGAGCCTCAGTTTCCCTCCTGGTTAATGAGAGTCACAATAACAGCTATCCTGTAGGGCTGCCATGACATAAGGCAGGTCAGGTGTCTCTCGGGTACCTAGTCAGCACTGGATAAACGCCGTCATCGTCCTCATCACCCCGTGGTACGGGCCCCCTTCCCTGCCCTCCTCGCCCCTCCCACGCACACAAGTGTTGTAGTCTGCAGCCTGGCAGCCACGGCCCACGGTCGGATTCACCCAGCCCCTCCCGGCCTCTCCCTCGGTTAACCCCCCAGAGCCTGGTGCACAAAGCTGGGCCGCTGCTCCCATTTACAGCTGAGGAAACTGAGGATCCGAGAGGAGCCATAAAGGCTCCCCAGGGAGTGACTGGCCATAAAGGACCCCCGATCCTAACCCTGGACTCCTTCCACACCACGCCACCCAAGCACGTGTACACACCAGTGAGCATGTACACACAAATGTACGTATGTGTACCCACACACACGCACACACAGCCTGCCCGGCTGCTCTGTGGCAGATTCTCCCCATGCTGCCCTGTTCTCTGTGGTCGGGGAGAGAGCTCACTCCCTGTTCTAATTTGCTCCATAGGCTGTCATTACACATTCCAAACCCCTGCCAGCCGGAGGGGGGAAGGAGGGGCGCAGGCCGGGGGGAGGCAGAGAGGCCTCGTGCGCCTCCTGTGCGCGTGAATGTTGTGTGCGCTCATTTGCGTCTTTCCCCACGTGTGCATGCAGGTGCGTGTGTCCGCTGTGAGCAGGGCCGCGGGGCCCTTCACCACCCCCCACTGGAATGCCTTTGCAGCAGGCAGGACCCAGCGGGCACCAGGCAAGCCTGAAGGACTCAACCCAGGACGTCTACGCATGAGTGTGAACATTCCCACACTGCGTCCCCACGGAGTTCATTTAAAGCCGCGGTTTTCAAACATTTTTGTTTTACGCATCTAAATCGTTTTTTTGAGTATGTATTTGAGATTATAGTCTGCGCACAGAGGGCAGTTGTGGCAGGATGGACAGAGAGAGGATCTGAATCTCTGGGCCCAAGAAGCAGGATTAGAAACCATTCGCCTATTCATTTAGTCAACAAGGGTTTATTGAGCACATACTGTGTGCCAGGCACTGGGGACACGGTGGTGAGCAAGACGGAGGAATCCCTGCCCTCCTGGGGCTGACCTTCTGGGGGCAACAAAGTAAACAGCTAGACAAAGAAAGAAGCAGAGTCGTGTCTGACGGTGTGAAGAGCTGTGTAGACCCGAAGGACTCCGGAGTGGCCGAGTTAAGGGGTGCAGGGGTCCCCAGCAGGGGGAGGGGACACAGGGCTCAGCCAGGGTCCCCAAGCCCTCCTCTCTGCCCAAGGGTCATGCGTTCTCCTCTGATGGGCCCTGGGGATGCAGTTGGGGCCCATGCCCTGAGGAAAGGGCACAGAGTGGGAGCTAGCATTTTGACGTCAGACAGACGGATCAGGGAGTTGGCTGGTAGACCCCCTGCTCATGAGCTGGGCCTCTCTTTCCTCACCTGCCCTGGGGATCTTAACTGGGTCATTGTGGGAATAACCAGAGTTGTGTCAAGCACCCCTCCCTAAGCAGCAAATCGCATGACAAAGCAAAGGGCAGGGGCCTTCCCTGGAGGGCGGAGGTCTCCGGCTCCATCCCCGCCCCCTACACAGAGGGTGGAGGGAGGGGCCTGGCCTCACCGCTCCCCTCCCCCTCACCCCTGTGGCTTTGCCCGATCTCATGGAAACCCTGGCACATATTTGTCAAATCCCGTCCTCCTGATTCTGCGACCAAGGAAAGCTGCTTAAACACGGGGGCAAGTGTGGGCCTGCAGGTGCTCCACCCCACGGGGAAGGGCTCCAGGGAGCCGGTTCCTGCTGGTTCCCTCCCTCCTGGGATCAATTCACCCCAACAGGCATCTGTGGAGTGCCACTTGTTTGCAGGGCACCGGGGAAGCACGAAAGAGTGGAAGCTCAGAGAACTCACAGTCTAGGAGGGAAGACAGCCGGCCTTTCCCTCCTCCAGCCTTCGCCCTGGCTGTCCCCTCTGCCTGGAACTCCCCCTTCACTGGCTGCCTCCCATTCTGCAGGTCTCCTCTTAACCAGCACTTCCTCTGAAAAGCCTTCCTGGCTCCCCAGTCTAGACCAGCTCCCTTGTTGT